CTAAGAATATGCACTAGAAAATTAACCATCTCTTCAATAAATGATGTTTGGAAAACTGCTTTACATATATATGAAAGAACTAATTTGGATCCTTAAATTTTACAACACAGGCAAAAATATACTAAAAATGAATTAAAGTCTTCAGCATATGACACAAATTTATATATCTGATAAGGGGCTCATATCCAAAACACAAATGAACCTGTACAACATAATAACAAGGAAATATATACCAATTAAAAAATAAAATGAGAAAGTGAAGCATTTAATCCCACGACCCAGGAGGCAGAGGCAAGTGGATCTCTGTGGAAAAAGGACAAGAGCTCTAACTAGTGAGTTCCAGGCTAGCTGCAGCTCTAGGGAAATTCTGTCTCAGGAAAAAACAAAAAGAAGAAGAAAAGAAAATAGACGTCTTTGACAATTACTCAATTGAGACCTTTTTTCCAGGTGACCGTAGGCTGCATTAAGTTGACAATTAAAGTGAACTAAGACAATGGTTATACACAAACAGAGGAGAAGAATGCAAATGGACATGCGGGAAAACCCTTGTACACTATTGGTAGGAATATGAACTGGCACATTCCTTCGTGAGCAGCAACATGGAAGACTCTCATAAATTATAACTAGAATTAACCAAAAGAGAAGCTCAAAAGCATGACTTAACTCCAAGTCTCAAGAAAATCATTTTATTTGAAACATAGATAAACCTAAAGGACATACAACAAAGTGAAATAAACCAAATACAAAGAGATAAAGACTATACGATGTCATTCATTTGTGCAAATGAGAAATGCTGACATAGAGAAATTGAAAGTGAAGCATTTTTGGTAGGGTTAAGAAGAAGGGAAACAGAAACATTGGTTCTGAGTGGGGCATACTTTATAAGATAAGTAACTTTTGGATTTGCCATGATAATTATAGCTAGTAATAATATATCATATACCGGAAATGTGTAGGCTGATAGATCATCTTCAAGTAGGTCATTATTGTAGCTTTCAGGGTTCACAGCTAGGTAAGACATGAATACTTTCCTCCTCCAGTAGTGTACATAGTATCTTCCAGCACTATGAACGCTAACCAGTAGGGATAAAGCTTCCAAGTGTGTACTCCCTTGATTTCTCCATGCTGTATGACTCAAGTATATGGTGTCTTCAGGGTTGTCATGTCAAGCTCTGGAGGGTAACAAGAACATGGTAATAGGATGCAATGTGCAGAGGTGGATGAGACTGCACTAGCCAACAACTTTAAAACAGGGAAAAGAGGAGTCATGTTTTTTATTAAGAGTGATAAGTCAACCACATTCCAATGGATGGCCATAGAATATGGACAGCAAAAAAATGGATTCCACTGTTTTTTTTTTTTTTTAAGAAAAAAAAAACAGAATATTCAATGTGTAGGGAAGTGGAGAATCACACTTGGGAGGCGTTCAGAGAAGAATATTATCAAAATATATTGTATGACTCTCAAATAACAAAAAATTGAATTAGAATATGAATTCTATTAGGATTTCATACAATGAAGTCACAAATATGGAAATTATGTGAGATGTAAGACTATGGGCATTTTATATTGCTTAATCTATTGAAACATAATACAGGAGATACACTGGTAAATAATATACCATATTTTATGTAAATCATGTCTCAAGTATGTCAATAAATGAAGAAATCATAAAAGACTAAAATATCATAAAAAACAAACGTTTAGAAAAAGCAAAAGTACAATGCTAGTAGCACACTATCATTAAAAATCTAAATCATGGAAACTTAGCTAAGGTCTTTTGCAGACATAAGTTTATAACCTCTACTTAATTTGCATAAATTAATACTACAATAGGGAAATTCTTGCACCATTTGTCAAAATAGAACAATAAAATATAAAATGAAAGTTTCCAATGAAGACCAGACATGGGGGAAAAGTAAGAGGACACCACTGGTCATGGATCTTGTGAGGAGCCATTAAAATGAAATGTAGGGAATGTGGTGACTACTGAGGAGCAGTGTCAAGTAAGTGGAACAGTACAATGTGGTGCACAATGGGACTCTGCCAACCTGGGAACATCTGCTCTCTCATTGGCTAAGGATTACAGCATCTCAAATGATAGACAAGTTTTCAATGTAGATTTTAATGTCAAGAAAACATTTTCAGATACCTACATCTTCAAAATTCTAGTCTAGTTATTGCGATTATTAACTTGTAAACTTGTCATTCAAGTGGGGAAAGAAATTTTATAGTTCTAGGGTAGTAGCAAAAGTAATGAAACAGAAAGACAGCAATCAGAAATGAGGCCCTCTTCACAAATCTGAGAAAAGGAATGCAGCCCCCCATTTTTATAGAAAGCTTTAGTGGCATGTATTAAATTCATTATATGTGGGTAAAGCCATCAACTTTTACTATTATGTAGTTATTTATTATGCTGTACTAAAGCATGAACTAACAGGAGCTGTGTCTGAAGCATTTTGGCCACATCATAAATGCCCATTATGTTTAAATATTAGCTATAGTAGAATCTGAGCATGGGTCATGTGTACATATTCTAATTTGTAAAATGTACATGCAGGTATAATTCGTGTACTCTGGCCAAATCCTTTCTCTGAGAATTATTTCCATGAGTTTCATTCATAACAGTTTAATTCACAAAATATTATTTCTGTGAGTTTAATTCTTAACATATCCCCTGAGGCAGATGTGTTTAGGGACAGCAGCATAAGGTTAAAAAAAAAAGTGAAAGAAGAGCATAAGTAGAAAAGAGGATTACATTCAATATGCATGTAAGCCTGCCACTTTATTTTGAGAATTCACTCTCCTGAGGATATTCCTAGACACCATTACCAGCCCATTCTTCTGGCTCAAGACACTGGAATCAGCCTTCTTTTTAATGCTTTTCATGCCTTTCCTGACAAACTCCATTTCCTTCTCCACTCAGCTTTCCTTTTTTTTCTATTATTTTGCCATCATTTCAATTTTTATCCTTTTCTTGGTGATTGCCCCAGATCATACACTTTTTACCACACGGCTGTCTTAGTATTTAAATCCAGCTGGGCCATTCTGCGAGATGTTCCTCTTTCTTGTTTCATGATCAGATCACTACTATTTTTAACTTGCCCCCTTTTCTCTCAATATGCCTGTGTATTTGAGCTTCAAGAAAATATAAGTGAAATATTTAATATTTTAAATGATAACAAAGTTACTGTATTCCTAGCATTGAATAATAAGAAGAAAAATGATTGTCTTCAAAGGGTCCAGTAACAGTAAGAATTTTGACACATCAAATAATTCTAAATTACATACAATTTAATGCTTTTCTTTACATTAATTGCATAATTTTCTGATAAAATCATTGCGTTTACACTCATGAATGCCTACTGAGACATTACTACCTATTTACAAAAACTAATTCAAGAAGCAGGGAGGAATCCATGTCCTTTAATGTTTCTTAAAACAACATTGATACAATTAAAAAAGCAACATACAATATTTAAAAATAAAATACATACAAGAAATTGAATAATTTTCCAAGGTACCTAAAATGTTTTTATATCTTTTTGCTATGACATTTACTATTTAAAAGTGGGTAAATACTGTATAAATTCTATTCACAATAATGCAAATTATATATAATGTAGAAGTTAAGAGCCTTGATCCTTCAGCCTTTAGAATCAGGATTTCCATATTTAAAGATGGGCTCAGGTACCTACGAGTTCTGAATAAATATTATCCCATTCTCTATTTTTGTCTGTAAACTACAGATAGCAATAGCATCAATGTCAACATTCAGATGCAGAGGATAAACACCTAACTCAACCAAACTCTTTTTCTCTTTTTCTGGAGGTTGAGTTGACACAAAGACTCATGTAACTCAGGTTGGCTTCAAGCTTTCTGTATAACTAAGGAAGACATCGAACTCTTGATCCTCCTAGTTCTGCCTCCCAAGTGCTGGGATCGTAGGTTTCTGCCACCATGCCCAGCTATCACTAATTTCATATACTGAAGATTCTAGCTTAGCAAATATTTGATGGCATCTATGTGTTTGTAGGTTAAAATCACATACTTTAAACAATTATTTGTGGTCTATCTTTGTCTTTACACATTTCTTCCTCCAATCCTGCACTCTTAAATTTTCTGAAATAACCAAAGATTGTTTCATTACAATTATACTTGAGATAATTACCAAGTATCTGTTGTTTCAAACAGTCAAATCATTTATCCGTGTATCATTTTATTCATTTATTCTGGTAAAGAAAAGGAAGACACAAGTTTTGAATTTATTAACTCAATGGTGTATGCTTGAGAAGTCACTGAAGAAAATCAGGAGTGTTAGAGCAACCATATCTAAATCTTTTTTTTTATTAGACAACTCTGCATTATTGGACTTAATCAGGAAGAGAATAAAGACACTGAATGTATGGTTAAAGCTAGATACAGACAAGGCATAGGAAGCATCATGGAAGAGGATAGAGTTACACTTTATATGGTATCTAGAACCAGCATCTAATGGGTACTAACTATTCCCTCATGAGAGCAAGTATCTGCTTCTCCATCAGCACTTATTGTAATCTAGGTTTGTTTTTTCATAGAAATCATTAAATACTCAATGAATGAAGTAAGTCAAAATGATTAGGTAACTAAATTAACTACAAACTGTGAGAGTGGATGACTATAGAGTGAGTAAAGAAAGTGAATAGTGAATAGGTTGGAAGTGGAACTAGAATTGAATGAATGAAGAAGTTCTGAACTGCATTCCTAACAACTAACCACAGGACTCAAGGGCTATTATTCAATGTCCCTAGAAGAGGACCAGCTCTGAGTTACATGCACAGCACTCTGTATGCTTTTATGCTCAATTAAATGCAAATTTTACTTTTTTCCATTAATTATGACCAAGGTTTGTTCCTAAGCATATACCCCCTAGCATCCTGAAGCCTTCTGGACCCTCATGAAATTTAAGAAATGAAATATGATAAGATTAAATCAAACCAATAAGAACAATAAAGAATCCTGTGCTCATTTTAGCAGCAAACATACTAAAAATGGAATGATACAGAGAAGATTAGCATGGCTCCTGTGAGAGGGTGACACAGAAATTCATGAAGTACAAAACAACACACACACACATACACACACACATTTTATATATAAATAAAAAATATATATATAATATGTGTGTGTGTAAAATTAAAGAAAAAACTTAGCCAATGTCTCCCTGTTGCTCTAGCTGGCCTGGAAATTACCATGTAGACAAGGTTGGATCTCATAGACATCTGTCTGCTTCTGCCTCCTGTGCACTAGGATAAAAGCTATGTGCCATTCGAATGTTTAAGAAGTTCTGTTTCAAAACATCTAGGAAATTAAAGGTGCACTCTACATTGTCAACAATATCCCTTTGTTCCTCAGTGTTCTGAGCTCCCATCTGCCTGCTGTCGTCACTACAATCTTCTCTTTGCATCTCTCTGCTTTTGTTTGTGGCAGTTGTTGAGATTTCACTGCCACTACTGTGACATGCGACCTCTACATATCTCCCATCCTCTTTGAGTGAATGGATGGGTGAAATATGTTCTTCACAAGGTGGCAGCAATATTAAGACCAAGGTATAAGAAGACACACCCTGGCCCCCATGAGACACAGTCAATTTTGACTGTAGGGACAGTAATAACAGACCACAAGTGCACAATGGTGCTTGACATGGTGGTGTGTGTGTGTGTGCTGCTATACCCCAGAGAGTAATGGCTAAAATCCAGGGACTCTGATTTCCAGCACAAGATGAAATTAATCCCCAGGCTCAAGAAGAGTAAAGAACTTAGCATTTGCTGGAGGCTGAAACCAGGCTCATCGCTACATAGAAGTAATGGGATTTATAGAGACATGTGAGATGTATCATGTGATTGGTCCACTTGACTATGGAAAGACATCCTACAATGAATATGTAAACTGAGAACCAGGACAGTGAAAGTGCAATTCAGAGTGCTGAGACTTAAGAACTAGAGGCTGGAAACAATGTCACGATGTTCCAAAACTTTGCAGAAGCTGACTGAGGACCAACAACTCTGACTTATGAGTGTAAACTGAGAGGAAAGTCCTAATTAAAGAAAAAAAGAGTTTGCGCCTCCACTGCCTTTTTGATTTTGTTCTTTAGGGCACTCAACTAACTAGGTGATATCTGCTTACTTTAATGAAGATCTTTTCTCAAGCTACTGAAAAAATTCCAATCTTCCCCATAAACACCATCACAGAGACACTTGGAAATGATACACCAGCATTGTGGACATCCCAACACACACACACAAAAAAAAATAAGAAGCAATTACAGAACTGATGCAAAAATGTTTATTCAGACTACAGGAAAAACTCACACAAGAACACAGAAATACTTTATTGGACATTTTCAAAGGATTGGATTAAGGTGCATTAATGATCAGTTAAAATCTATGTCATAAACTCAATTACTGTTTTTTTTTTTTTTCTGTTTACCTGGAGTGCAGTTTTTCTCATGCAATTAGTCAATTCTTCCTTTTCGCAGCATATTATGAACATTTGGGTAATGAAGAAGAAAAGGAAAAGGAAGCAATTCTAAGGCACTGGGCTTTGTAAATTTGTGTCACTGAACCATGGGTACCATTTAACACAGTGAGAAGATACTGAACACCCTAAGCTGAAGCAGCACATGAGGTAAAGGGCTTTGTTTAACACACACGCCATCCCCAATCACAGAAGCTTCCTTTCTAGCTCCTTTGGTCAGTATGGGTTGACTTCCCTGTGTTCAGTGACTTCTACCTCAGTAACCCTTGCCCAGTGGGAAGTCTGGTTGAAAGCCTAACATGAGGAAGGTTTTTGTGTCACATCCTCCTAAATTGATTTTCAGGAACAAAGGATCAGCAGAACAGTAGAACAGGTAACAAAAGATACCTAAATAAATGAAATGAGTTCTTAAAACTTTGTTTCTTTTTCTATTCTTTTGCTTATTTTATTTAGGTACAGCCAAAAGCACAATCATCCCTGCTGAGGGTTTCTTCATTTATCTCCATTTTAAAATCATTGTATCCACTTGTAAATACACACTGAGAAAATGTTTTAGCAATTGAAGTCAATCAAACTGCTCTCAAAGTTTCCATTTAGTTCTTTTTACAGTGTTTAAATGAACCTGCAAGAAATTAATTTAATCTATTGGGGGTAAAGGAAATTAAGTGTTTGAGGTTGTCAAGGAAGGAGGGAAGGAGAAAGAAGAGTGGAGGGATGGAAGGAAAGGAGACAAGGAAAGAAGAATGGGAGGAGAGAAGGATGGAGGCAATAGAGAAAGATGCTTTCGAAACATTGAGAAGAAAAGATTTAAGTACACATCTATTTTCAGAAGATTCAATAATGGCATGATATTTTACTAAAAGACTTGAGAATTAAAAGTAAAACTGCATTTTTCATATATTCATTTTTTCTAATGTGTCATTGATATAATTTGACAAAATGCCAAAAAATGTTAGCATCCTGGCAGATTTTTTTTTATTTCAATTTCAAATATATGCTGGAGCATTTTTACCATCTGCTGTGTAAACCTCTTCTAAGAGAAGAATGATAGATACTTCTATACATCTGTGTCAAAATGCAGCTATATGGAATTTGCTAGACCAAAGAGATATGGAGCCAAGACGAATTGGGTGGCAAGAAAAATTGGGTCAGAACAGGACAGAAAAAAAAATACAAGCGGAAATTTTTCATTGTACCTTGTTTTCAATGCATTTGGATAGATGCTACTGATACTAAGTAAAGTATAACTTGGTGAATTTATTCTCAGGAGTGATTAATAGATTAAGAAACATTGTTGGACTATACTCATTAATTAAATGTATTGTGAGTATTCCCACATTGTAGCAAATGAAAACTGATATAAAATATTTTGTGTTATTTTAAACATTTGCAGAAAACAAACCATTTATAAGTATCAAACTGTTGTTTAGTAAAATATGTGCTATATTGCCTAAACACAGATATTTTGTTATCAACTTGTTTATGGCATGCATCCAAGAGGGGTTTTAGCCAGCTATGCAGTCATAACATTTGAGGTTTAGCTGGTGGTTTGTGTTTGTTCCAGGGACTATGTCATTTTCTTTGATGTGAATTTCACCCCCCATTCTCTCTCTCTCTCTCTCTCTCTCTCTCTCTCTCTCTCTCTCTCCCCTTGAAAAAAAAGAAGAGAAAGATTCATTGTTCTTCCCCCCTCATTTCTTAGAAGGTATTTTCAGTTTTGTTTTTTAAGAATCTTCAGCTCACCAAAGAATCTGGTTATGAAACTCATTTTCTGGAAAAGTTCTAAGATCTCTAACTGAGCTCAAAACTCTTCTCAAGGAATTGTGAATTCCACTGTTCCCTCATGAAATCTGGAAATCAATTCCTGTACTGCCTAATTGAGATTTTTATAGTTTCAGGAAAAGAATGTAAGTACAAATTTCTTTGGCAATATGAATGTGAAAGGACTAAAACTATTATAAGAACTTCAGTATTCTTGTTATTAGCACACTTCATTGAAATATTTTCCTATTTATCATTAAAATACATAACAGGGTTTTTTTCATATTTTAATTCTAAACATGTGTACCAATAATGAACTTAAAGAGAGCCCCCTGGGGGCTGGAGAGATGATTTGGTGGCTACAAGCATTGGCTGCTCTTGCAGAGGGCAAGGTTCAGTTCCTAGCATCCACATGGCAATGTACAACCATCTGTAACTCCAGTTCCAAGGGTCTGACATCCTCTTCTGTTCTCTGCAGGCATTACACATATGTGGTACACTTACATACATGCAGGCAAAACACTCGTACACATATAAAAGAAATAACAAATAAATAATTTAAAAAGAGCCTACCAAAACTTATTTGTATACTATAATCCCAAGAGTCTCTGAGCATTAATTGGAGTGATGAAAAGCATGAATGACATTTTTGAGAGAAGAGAGTTATCTTAGATTATCCATTTAAGTTCCATAATGGTGAGGCAGATGATGATTTTGTAGATTCACACAGAAGACAAAGTCACATGACTGAGGAATAGAAATAGGAGTGATGTGGTCTCAAATCATGCAAAGCTGAAAACCAACGGATGGAGCAGAGAAAAAGACAGTTCTTATATTTTCTCAGTGAAAGTGTGACCCCGATGGATTTTACAATTCTAGTTTCTAGAGTTAATGAAACAGTAAATTTCTACTGTTTTGAGCCACTGAGCTCGTTTCTTTTTTATAGTTATCTCTGTAATGAAATAAAATGTCTTTGGAAAATGAACAAAAGGTACTAGACAATGTTCACACCTTTGAAAATATTGGTGTAGAATTAATTATTAAAGGGTACTTTTTTCCTATGGCTGGTGATACAACTCTGGACATTGTATATGATAGTCAAGCACTCTACCATTGAGCTGTATCCCCAACCTCTACAAAGTACTTTAAAAGAATTCAGCAATTTATATTTTTCATTCTGAAACATTTATTGAACTACTACAGTGTAACAAAGTCTGCAAGGGTTCCCACAGAGATAAATGAGCATGACCTCTCTTCTTCTGGATACTTGCTATATTGAAAAGTTCCCTCTGTGGCTCATCTAAAAGTACCTAGAAGACCAAACATCTAGCTTTAAAAGAATGAACAAAAGCATTTCTACTGTAAGCAACTGCCAGGCCAGGTTGCATGAAAGAAAATCTATGCAGTTTGAATCCTGGTTCCTTCCCTTATGACTGACTGACTAAGGTTAACAATAGTCTTGAGGCCTCTGTATCATAATCTATTACAGTAATTTAAATAATTCCTTGGTGGTAAATTTGAATGAGGAATAAACTTGCAAGCAAAATATCTTTTACTTCACTATCTGATTCCCATAGTAGTGGATCATCATGTAACTAATTCCTGCTGTTCTGTGTAGCTTTCTTTGTCAGGGAAAACACACTTCGCTTTGTTCATGCATTTTTGCTTCAGCATTAAAAATCCTCTGTGCTGAAAATCTACTCGGTCCTCAGTAAATGGTAACCCATAAAAATATTTAACTGTATATGTATATATTTATAAAGTATTAAGACAGTATACAAAGTGCTGCATTCCAATACTGCTTTGCAATATATTTATGTCATTATACTT